TAAAGCGTCAACTCTAGCAGCTCAAGAGTGTATTTGGCTTCAGAGACTCCTTGAAGATCTGTTCGAGCCAATCAATAAGCCAATTGCAATTTATGGAGATAATCAAAGTGCGATCAAGCTGGCCAATAATCCGGTGTTCCATGGGAGGACTAAACACATTGAGTTAGAGCATCACTTCATAAAAGAGAAGGTGCTTGATGGGACAATTGAAGCTTTGGAAGTTCGAAGCGAGGACAACGTTGCGGATATCTTCACCAAGTCATTACCAAAAGGTCAGTTCGAGTTACTTCGCTCGAAGCTCGGGATGACTGACAAAATCAAGTTTAAAGGGGAGTATTGAAGTTAAACTTGATTTTGGGTTAAGCTTAATTTTGGGTTTATAAAATAATTATTAGTTATTAGATTAGGCCCAAAATTAAGCTCAAGTTCTAGAATCTCTAGAAACATCACTAAAAATCATCATCTTTCTTAAATGTTCTAGAGAATTCTATTAGTTAAATATCTAGATAATTCTATAGATAATTCTAGATGTTGTAGTTAAAATTCTAGATATTATTGTAGAAAATTCTAGAGATTAGGAGAATGTTTGTAAGATATTTTGTAATAAATGGAGCCTATAAATAGCCCACTACTCCATCATTTGTAAACAAGAGAAGTTGAACAAATAAAGAAAGAGTGTTCTTCATAAGTTCTCTTATTCTCTCTAAAGTTCCTTCAAGTTTTCTCTAAGTATTCTTTCATCTTATTATTCATACTTAGAGGGTCTTTGTTTCTTTCGGATCTCTCGGGTATTACGGTCTTGGGCTAGTGCTTGGCACTATTGGTGTTTTCTTTACAACGGAAAAAGGATGACAATGTGAAAAGGTTTACTGTGAAAGTTCCTTCTTTGTGTCACTTATTCTATCTCAATAGTACTGAAACCTACAATGATGTAGGAGACAATGGTAGGTGCTTGGTTATTGACACTCCGGTGTTAGTGACGCTCAATATCTTTGATGGTTCGGGAGATTATTGCTCAATCGATAGAATTCCTTCTCTTGATTATCATCCTGCTGACAGATTTTTCAAATCAATCTCTTTGGTCCTGTCTCTTGACTTTTATTTATCCCAGCTTGTGTATTTGTTGTAGCGGCATCTACTTCTCTCGCCTTACAGAGTTAAAATTAAAAACCAAGAAACTCAGATCGGATGGAAAACCTTATGGTTTGCTAAGAAATTATCCCAAAATTAAAAAAACTCAAGGTTGTCTATGTAAGTACTATCTTTCTCCTGTTCTACTCTTTCGATGGACTCAAAAACCCTAAGTTAAAATTAATGTGTACACAATTCGTTTCTTCATATTTAGGAAATTAGCGACGAGGATCTCCCTCCTTTATGGAACCAACCGAGTTCTATTCCCGAATGCATGTCCTCAAATCTCGAGTTTTTTAGGTGGCAAGAATATGGAGGAAGACAAGAAGAGGAAAAGTTCTTGACATACATTCTTGCCATCGCTAAGTGTTTAAAGACCGCAAAAATCTCCTTGACACCAACCTTGACTCTTGAAGAGCAGCACATGATGATAGAGAAACTGAAAGATATTCCTACAACATCGAAATATTGGAAGGATTTCAAAAACTCTTTGTTTGCTTTGTCATATGAACCGGATACTCGTGAATCGAGTCACCCCACGGGTTACCCACCAATGAATTGTTCACCGAAATCGTTTTCAACGCTCTCCACACAATACTATGGTTATTACTTCACGCATTAAGGTCAAACGACGACTACGGCTAAATTAAGTTAACGTCTAGATCATTGTAAATTCTTCCTCTTTGATCACATATTTCTTTTTTTAAAACGTTCAAAAAACTAAATAAATATGATTGATTCATGGCTTCATGCATTTTTTCTTTTATATACTCTAAAGTATTCCGTTGGGAAAAGTTAATCTACGAGAAACAATAAAATTTAAAACATAATGTGTAGCATACTGATATAAGTCATCAAATTAACAATTTGAAAAAAAGAGTCTTCCAATTAAAACATTCGGCAAACATATTAAAAAAAGTCTTCAAACGAGAGTCATCTTTTCTTTTGTCCATATCCTTAGCGTCCCTCTCGGATTGTTACCTCTTCTCTTTTTTTCCCTCTCTTTTATCTCATTTCTCTTCTTTTTGTAGATCTTACTTTTAAGATCGATCTAGATCTATCTATGTATGCAACTGATGATTTTGATTTGCATATATATATATATATATATATTAGTTTTTCTTTGTCTACTCCTTTTAGTACTAGAGATTTCAAATTTCTTTTTGCATTTTGACTTCTAAGATTGATCGAGATCTATATATATAACCGTTAAAAAGAGATTAGAGACTTTATCGTATGTACATTTTCTGGACATTGGAAATTTTGGTTCATTCATACCGACTTAGAAGGTTGGAGAGAGAATGAAGCTACTGCATAAAGATCAATCAATTTGTATATATATATATATATATTCATATGGTTTGATTTGTATGGTTTTGCTTTGTATGACTCTCTCTTATTTCGTTTTACAATTTTTGTTTGCTTTGTAGAGATTTCAATCTAGATCTATCTCTTTGTATATGTATGTTGGTTTTGCATTTTGATTTGTATGGTTTTGCCTTGTATGACTCTCTCTTATATCGGTTTTCAAATTTTGTTTGAAAGTAGTAGAGATTTCAACCTAGATCTACATATTTGTATGGTTTTGCTTTGTATGGTTATGCTAAAGGGAAGAAGAAGAGAGGAAGAGGGAAGAAAAAGAGAGGAAGAGAAAGGAGAGGAAGTGGGAAGAAAAAGAGAGGAAGAGGGAAGAAAAAGAGAGGAAGATAAAAGCGGTGGTAGCAGAAGAGAAGATTCGTCAGAGGAATGTGCAGCAAAGGAATCGTGAACACTGGGAGAGGGAAGCTAGAGAGAGTAACAATAAGAAGTTGGCGGTGGCTCTTTTTGCCCTGGTCGATAATGATCTCGTCAAAAACTTTTACCTCTTCTAATTATTATTATCTTATGAATGTTTTAATTTGATGTTTTAATTTGAAGAAGACTCTTATATCTATTTTTAAATTTGAATTTGAGTTTGATCTATCTCTTTGTATATGTTTGTTGGTTTTGCACTTTGATTTGTATATATATGTGATTTGATTTGTATGGTTTTGCTTTGTATGACTCTCTTATTTTGTTTTTCAATTTTTGTTTGAAAGTAGTAGAAATTTCAATCTAGATCTTACATATTTGTATGGTTTTGCTTTGTATGGTTATGCTTTGTTTATATATATGATTTGATTTGTATAGGTTCTGGTCTGAATTCATGTCACGTGATCCAGAAAAATCTAAGGGTCATATGCGTCTTCTCCTCAATCGTGAGAGGAGGAAGATTGACAAGCAACACAGTAGTCTCTAAGGAAGTCCTCTTGACTTTCTTAAAGACTATACCCCATTACTTGTCAATCTTCCTCCTCTCACGATTGAAGTGGAGAAGAGGAAAGAAGAAAAGAGGAATAGGAAAGAAGAAGAGAGGAAGAGATTGGAAGCATGAAGAAAAGGAGAAGAGAATGCTTCAAAGAATTGAAGAACACTGTGCGAAGGCTCATAGGGAGAAAAAGAAATAAGAAGCAGCCATCCGCATAATGTTGCTTTGAAAAATTTGGCAGGGCTCGCCAAGGATCTAGGCCACAACACCAACATTCTCTGAGCATTGCATTGCAGAGATATTATCTACCTACCAAATAAACTCCATAATCCCACTGTGGTTTGTGTTCTATCTTTATCTTCTGTTTGTTGCACATTTCCCAGAAATATTATCTACGATAAAACTTTGTGTTATATTTTTTTTTCCAAGCTCCTTATGAATTATGATCCCACTGTGGTTTGTGCCGTTATATTTTTGTTTTTTAATGTCAAGGGTCATCGACTCATCGTCACCTTTTTGCTTTCCTTTTTCTTATTTCTTTGTCTTAACGATAATTTACTCGTTGCCATAGATGTAAAATATACGGAACTAAGGTTAAGGTCTTTGGAAAACATAGAAAATAGATAGATTTTACAAAATCATCACATTTCATGCTTTTGCGTTTTACGGCTATATAGCATTCGCATAATTGTACGCTTGATGATATTAGTTACTGAAACAGACATGCAAAATCAAAATCACCTTAGAGAGAGATTCGTGTTTTAATTCGTAAACTAATTAGGTAATGACAAAAAGTAGCAAAACTATAAAAAGAGTTGAAAGAGAAAAGAAACAAAACCACTTGGGCTACCGTAAGTTTGAATGGAAGTTTCTTTAGAACAAAAAAAAAAGAAAAAAAAGAAAAGAATAATAATACTTAATAAGTGAAAATTTCATTGGAGAGGTTATAAACTAATTAATGAAAAACAAATGGGAAAACTATAATAAGAGTTGAATTTGATAATCGAGAAAAACAAAAGAAGGTGTACAAAGAGAATGATATACGTCCAAGTGTCAACATCCTCAATAAACTCGTGTATTACTAAAAAACCTATAATCAAATTTCAAATTTCACCTGAACTTCATCACTTGCTCTGGTGTCAACACATCAAGGTGGTGATATTTAACCCCAAAAAGGAAACGCAAAAACAAAACAAAAATTCGCTAGTAGGAACAGAGAAGACTACGTTCTTACTCTGTTTTTGGAACAGAGAACAGCTCTGTTTTATGGAACAGAGTAGGGTTTTCCCTCAGATTAGAACTCAGTTGAAAAAAAGATTTCGACCAGAAATAATATTTCACATGCATGTTGGTCAAGTCGGTATGAATGAACCAAGAGTCCCCCATTTCCAGAAGATGACTTAAAGGTAACCTCTCTGATCTCTAATACGTTCATTTCCATCTTTTGAATTTATTGGATAAACTTTATACCTATTTCAATCAACTAACACCTATAATCATCGTATTCCACAATATTTTTTACACTCTCAAAAACAAGAAAAAAAAAAGAAAAAAAGGAACGAAAGGGAGATATAAGTAAATTTTACCAAGGCAAAGAAGAGAGACGTGAACCCCAAGCATCTCGTCCTCTTCTTCCTTCATCTTGATTACTTACAAGAGGTTTCTTTGCCGATTTGTTTAATTGAAACAACGGATGCTTACACAGCCTCTGAACAGTCCCAATATCTTCACTTGTATCTTTATGATCATTTCTCTTCTCCATGTTCCAAAACTCTTCTTCATTGTCAGCCTCTAGCCTACACAGAGTAGCCACTCTCAAGAACTTAGGGTTGTTGTTGGGTTTCTCAGGGCCTAATATCTCAGAGTGTTGTGAATCCCATTCTTCCGATGGATCTGATGTTTGTTTCTCGATCCACCTTGCTTTCGCATCTGCGTTTTCCCTCTCTTTGAGGTTCATTAGGATCAAAGTCTTGAGAAAATTCATCACTTGCACCGCGTGGATCAGTGCAGTTAAAGGATCCGCCATCTACAGTATCAAAACATTTTCATGAGAAAAAAACTATAACTCACTAAAAGGAGAAGCACTTTTTTGTTTTGGACTGACTTGGGTCATGTTTGGAGCGAAGACCATAGCTACATTGCGAGCATTCATTTTGTTGAACTGTTCATGCTCCACCACGTCCGCCATTAGACCGATGGCCCAATCGAGAAGCGCAGATTCAACGGGAGGAAGAAGAGTCACGAGCTTGCTACAGTCTTCTTCTGTGTTACACTTCATCACTTGCTCCGGTGTCAACACATCAAGCACTCCTGTAGGCAGCTCCCTAAACCACGCCTGATCCAATTAAAAATGTCAAGAAAACAAAAATCAAACCTTAAAAATGTTGAGGAAACTTAAAAGTTTTGTTCTTTTTTTTACACCTTTATCAAACCGGCCAAACAATGAACGTCGATTCCACGCGGTACCACACCGCGGTTAAGCTGTCTTCGGACATGCTCTTCTTTGCCGTTGTCCGGATTTATTCGGAATATTCCTTCGGCCTTAAGGCAACAAACAATCACACTATCATTAGAATTCTGTTGACTCGAAAGTAGATCCATTGTTGTTATGAGTAACAAGAGAGAGTAAAGACTTACTTTAAGACCTCCTTCTGTGTAAAGACGTTTCTGCATCCTGAGAAGGATCGTTGGGACGCTGTTTCCTCTGTTGTCGTAAGAGCATTGCATCGACTTAGCCGATACTCCAAAGACACTCACACTGCAACAAAAGAAGCAATTTTGACACATACACAAACCAAACTAGTGAAAATTCATATGTTTGATGGTATGAAGAACCGCTTTTTTTTTTTACTCTTATAGAAATGAATCCACTGAAAACCCATAAAGCTTGATAAAAAAAAAAGAACCACGTTTTAGTGAAAACTCACAAATTTGATCATAGAAATATAAAAATCATGAAAAACAACTAATCTGTAGTCATGTAGACATCTCTCTACTGAAAATCCACAATATATTTACTCATGTGAAATTTTATATTGCATGAAATTTAACATTTTACCAAAAAAAAAAAAAAATTCTATTGCATGCATGTGGATGTGGATGTGGAATTTTTTCTGCAATGTTTTCGTCTACATTTAAAAAAAAAACTAATTTAAATATTCAATTCCAATATTATCTTAAACACAGAGTCAGCTTGTCGTGTATGATGATAGATCGTTATATAATCAGGTCTTTCTTGGTATATGATATATTTCCTGTATGATCTGATTTTTTTGTATATCAAGTACTGCCTATTAATGTTCAAAAAAAAGAAAAAAGTACTGCCTATTACAAACTAATTAAATCTCTAGTAAAAAGCCATGTAGATTCATCACAAAAAACCAAGTTTTCTTTTCTGCCTAAAATTGTTTGAATTCATATTGTTCGTGGGTTATAATAGCTGGTTCTTTTTGGGATAAAAACAGAATAATTGGTTCTTGAATTTTTCAGACTCTTGATTATTCTTGTATTAAAAAACAATAAAAGAAACTTCTTTTGTGAACAAAGGCGTGTCGTAATCATGCATTTAGTCCAAACAACAAACCAACTTAATGATTCTATCCAAAACAGTAACATGTCAAGATACAGATTTCCAGCTATGAAAATAATTATTTAATTCCTCATATCAAGACATATATATGGAATAAATATATCAACGAGTTGAATTTTAAATATTTAACTTGATGAAATAACGAACCTGGCGCTAGGAGCTCGAGGAGGAACCTCCGGTTCGAGCTCAGAGGGAAGACCGAGAAAACCATTAAACCGGTCGAATGTCACGTGACTCACGTGCTTAACCTCCGTCGGCCAACCAATATCCATAGACGCAGCCACGTCATTATTACCTCTCTCCATGCTACAAGACATCACCAGCGACTTCCTCAGAACCGCCGCAAGAAGGTCGAGTACCGTGAACTGACCCGACCCGGAACCGGTCCCGGATCTCGACCCGTGTGAGCTCAAGGGCGTGGATACGTCGTAGTAGTCTGTGCTCGTAGTGCTATGTTCTTCTTCGTAGTCTTCGTCATCGTCATGGATGTTCTCGTATATGTCTGGACCGGGTCGGGTCGGTTTAAAATTCGGGAACCCGGTAGCTCCGGTGGATTTGGATCGGGAGAAGTTAGTCATCGTTTTTTCTGGTCTGCCGGAGAATATGAGAGAATGTAATATAAGCAGAAGAAGCTTTAAATGTGAGAGAAAGAAAGAGAGAGAGAGGGATATAAGAGACTGTTTGGTGAGAAAGAAAATGCGAGAAAACGAAGGAAAATTACAGATAAATCGCGTAGAAACAAAGGGACATTCGTTTTTTTTTCTCTCTTATTTTACCTTTGTGTTTTTGTTTTTGGGATCTGTGATTAGTGGATAGAGAGAAAGAGTGACGGAGACGTAAATGAAAACGAAACGCAACTTATGAAGTAAAAATTCATGGTTTTGTCGTAATGGTGAAAGAAAAAATAATAATAATATTAAATGTATATTTATATGTCTTGCTTGTGATAAGATATTATATAGAATAGTTCGACGGCTCGTGAGGCTGCCTAGGAGATGAATAGATGAGATGGGTGACAACTGACAAGTAAGAATGGGGGACATACGAGTCAGTGTTATTTTTGGATCTTTCTTTGATTTTGTTTGATTTACATGGTTAATTCATTGACAATTTGGTTTCTAGGGCTCTTGACTCTCTGTAACTCGTGTTAATTATTATGATACCTCTCTCTCTCTCTCACCTTTTGACCAAGAGAGTTTCACATATTTGTGAATTTGAATGTTGCTCTTTAGGACTCCTTCTTTAAATTGTAATGTTTCTAGGTTTTAATAAAACCTGCAGAAGTTATAACAAACCAACATATTGACGTAATAATACTACAAAATGATAAAAAGATAAAAAAATTAAGAAATATATTTGCTAAATCATCATAAAAATAAATTAGATGACATTAATTAACGGATGAACCATCAATTAGATGACATCATTTATCAACTTTTTTTGGTGCGTGTGAGGGAACACAACGTTCCCTCTGTTTTATTCAAATTCAACACTCATTACAATCTCATAAGGCTAGTTGTTCCCACTCCATTCCTATCGTCTATTACAATCGACATGATCTCATCTGGAGGAACATCAAAGAATCTAATATCCAATGGTTGAGAAAAGGCTAAATTAGCTAACCCATCGGCCACCCGATTTGCTTCTCTAAACACATGTGAAACACGGGTTAACCAGTCCCTTGACAAAAACTCATAGCACAAATGTATTAGGAATGAGAGGAGGTGAGAATCGCTTACCCCATTTGTTAACTTGTGAAACCATTTAACTACTAAACATAAATCGTAGTCTCATATTTGGTATATATATTTACAAGATCGCCAACTATATATATACATGCGGTATTTCTTTTTCTTCAACCGTTGGTTTATGAAAATGTAAGTACCAATAATGATTAAACCTATACGACGTCGTTGTTAAGTGGGGGCGACGATATTATAACTTAACATCACAATAGACGACTTCGCTGTATTGTCTTGGCTACTTTTTGTTTAGTTTTTGTTTTGGGGATACGTTATCACATGGTTACATGTGCACTGGTTCGTCGACATTCTCGTAACACGTCAAATACACACACAAAAAACATATTGTATCGTAACGCTTTTATTTTTTTAGGATTCGTTTAAGTCTTAATTAATTATATGAAAGAATCAAAAAAAATTGATGACAATTTATTTTGTAATTAGCTCATACCTAGCTCAAGTCGTGTTTATATTGATCAAGCCTAATGATATAAAAACGCATTATATTTTTGTTTGTTTATGCGTGTAGAGTAGTAGAAAACGATCGTGCTGGTATATTCGATATATCATCATTGTTGATATGTATAATGAAGCTTTTATCTTTCCATAACTAGACCACTTAATCACAATGTAATATCGCTTTTTCAATATTGTTTATTTCTTATTTAAATGAAAATTTAGCCATCGTTTAATTACGGTTTTGTTTAGATAGCTTATGATTGTTTTTTTCTCTGAAGTCCAACCCGTAAAATATTTTATCAAGACACTGAAATTATAATTATGTCAAAAAAAAAGTGAGGCAGGCTATATACATACTACTATACTAGTATAATAATTAAGAGCGTAATTTACTGCGCAGTAGTAATTTTTTTTGTTCTAATTACTTAACTAACGGGCGTTAAATCCCTACAGAAGGAGTAAACGCCGTTAATGTCTGAGTTTAACGATCGCATTTAATGAGCAGGTTCACGTGATATCCTCTGTTTTAATTCATCGCGTTGCCGTACGATGAAGACACAATAACAAACAATCCGACGGTTCACGTGATATCTCTTTTACCTAATGTTCTAGTGTATAATTTAGTGTTGTCTTCTCTATACTGTCACTGGAAATGAAATAAGTAGAACTAAAGCAAAATTTTACTTATTTCCTTAACGAGGAGGTACATTAATCCGCAGAAGTTATTTCAGCGTGTCGAAAGCCATCTTAATTGTTACATAGGCCCCCAGGTCATATATACTTATAAAATTAGCATAAAGTTTTCCATAAGAAAAGTAACATTTTTGTTTTAACGATTCTTTATTGTTTTATTCCCGTCGATGCGGACAAATGTTTGCCACTAAATGATCTTTTTACCTTTAAAGGGCAAAAACTAATGTTAAATCATAAAATGTCGATTTAACAACAGCAGTCAACATTGCAATAATGTGTTTAGGAATTGATGATATCTAAAATAAGATAGTATTATTTCAATTGTAGCGATTTATTTGTTTTTAATAAAATGTTTATGGATTTTAACATGTTATCAGAGTTTGAGAAAGAAATTTCAAATATAAAATGTTTGACGATTTTAGAATGAGATATTCAGTTTATAATGTTATATATATCCTTACATAAAAAAATGGCTTAAAAATAGAAAATAAGAGGCAGTATTTGCCGATTCATTACCAATTAGTTTTACATTTGCAATCCATAAGGTTTACCATAATGCACTACAGAACTAGTCCTTTCTTTTTGCTAAGTTTATACAGCTTTTATGTTACTAAATTAATGTTGGAAACCAGTAATTGGATTTTTATAGTTATAAAGTTAAACGGGCATGTGATCAAGATATATTATGGTTAGTGGTTAAGATTTTTATTTTTAAAATATCTGGTAATAAAGATCAATTACCAAATGAATAAATACTAAGATGGGTTAGTGGGAGCAAGGTACAAAACGCATGCGCGGAATCTAAAATTAATGAGCAAAGATGGCCTTGGTACTTAGCAATTAAAAAAACGTGCATGCTGATGCAATGCAAATGGGTTTAGTCATTTTAACAAAGAATATAATTCGGTAACGTAACAAATTAAATATTATATATTTTGTGTGTTTTGATCATTTCATTTTAGTTAGGATGCCAATAAAAACAAAAGCTTTGATAGCAAAGAAGCTAATATAACATCGGACACCGGGGAATAATATTAGTTATGTTTTGGTCAAATTTGGCTCCATATGAAGAGTACATTTCAAGTAATTAGAAACCTCACTGAAATTTTGTTGTTGTTAGAAAGACCTCACTGTTTGTTAAGTATGCAAATCAGCACAAACAAATAGCGCACCCGTATAACTTTCTGTATATTATATAGTTTTTAGAAACCAACTAGTGCTTTTCTTAGTGTAGATTTCCCCTACAAATCGATTGATTACATCGATGAAGTAACTTATAGCACATTGCATTAGTTATTATCACGGATTCGTATATTTCTCGATTTATATGATTTCTTTTTTAGAAATATATAATAAAAGAAACTGTGGTTATAACTTATCAGATGATTCAGATCGTTACTCCATATGTAAAAAATAAGTTAAAAAGAAAAAAATACCATACTGAATATATAATGTATATGCGTCTGCTGAAATTATCAGATGATTCCAACAATCCAACAACTCCAAAAAACACCGGTCCAAATGTTCGACTGCATGCTTCTTGCAGAAGCAAATATATATATATATATATATATATATACAATTTAATTATTTAAGCGAACATTGATTTTTTTTAAAAAAAACCAACACAACATACACGCATGTATGTATAGAAAAGGGATTGGAATAATTATTAAGTTTATATATAGAAAAGTGACATTGACATATATTCGTATGATTGTTTAATAATGTTAACTTCAAAGTTACTCTTGGATTCTTAAATTGTTTCGTCACTAGATTTAGGTGTTGCGGCAACGACCTTAACCGAAACCACACCAACTACTGTATAGAGAGACAAGTGCCCTTTTCAATGTTTCGTTTGAATTAATCTTAAGTTACCATTGAATTACTTATATTACTAATGCATTTCAATATATATTCACATTTAATATTTAGTGAGTGAAAACAAAACCAAGTTTCTTTATCAGGTCGGTGGGATTCTTTATCAGTTCTATTGATTTTGAAAAAAGATGAGAGTTACTTTTTTTTGTGTGTGTGCACACATGAGAGTTGGTTCATGTTGACCTTTTGGGATCATACTGGGCTGACATGTTTGGCTGGGCTTTATTGTTTGGGTCTAACCATTCGGACATATTATTGGTTTCGGATATTATTTACAACGTGCTTAAACTATTAATACTATTTCCTTTATTTCATAAAGACATAATTTTTGTTTTACAAAAAAAAAAAATTTCGATGCAAATTTTATATTAAGTTCTATTTTTATTTTAGTTTATTAATTAAAAAAAATTGATTTAATATATTAATAAAAATTTAATAAAAATTTAATTTTTTTTTTAATTTGTGTGAGAAACGCCAAAATGACATTTTTGTATAACATAACAAAATTTCTTTTTGACAGATAGTAACAGTTATAAACTTATAATGACAGTTATAATAGAATTTTCTATAAAATTGATTAAAATCCCAAAATATATAAATTATTAAAAACTGTAAATTTTTCATTTATGAAGATTGACATGTTGCAATCTTATAAGTTAATCGTGGTTAGGGATTATATGAATCATTTAGGTTTGTGGATATTAGGAAATTATTTGAATGTAGAAAAAAATTTGTACCAGAATCGTATAATTACTAGTTCACATACTCTTGTAATTGACTGGTCAATTATTAACATTTTACTTTGGAGAAAATTTAAAAGAAAAAAATACTGACATATAATTCATAATTTAACCAACTTTTTTTTCTTGAAATTTTTTTAATATATTTTGTAATGTCCTATAGTTTTTATTTTTTTAATTTGTTTGTTAGGTTTTATTTAAAATATAATAATTGCCATTACTACTTTTAGTCTATTACAATAGCAAATTTTGCTCATGTTATATTTTCATCTTTTAGCAAATTTCCAGATGAACTCATTGAAAAACTATTAGGAAGAATCGAATATTGCGACTTTTTTGAATTGGCAAGACAAACAGTTTTAGTATAATGAGTTTCAACATCTCTAGTAACCTCATGATGAAGATCGCAATACTCGGTTCTTTCCAATGATCTTCTGACACAGTGCTAAACTTGGCAGAGTTCATCTGAAAATTCATTAAGAAATGAAGATGGAGCATGAGCAAAAATTTATCATAACGTTGGGGTAAAAGTAGCAATGCTTGAGTAACTTCAAAAAATTCCCATTACATTTAATTGTGTCTTTATAAATTTCTATGTTTAAAATTTTGATATACATCTAATCTTATTATAATATATCACCTTTATGTTAGGCAATATGGACATGTATTGATGAAAAGTAGTTTTTAGTGTTTCTTAAATTATTAAATTATGTTGATACAAAGAAATTTGCTTCAAATTTTGAATATTCTTAGTTTTAGTGACATTAGTTCGAAAAAAATTGTAATCACACCGTGTATTTAATTCTCAACAATCACATTTAAATGCGTAAATAAATTCGTCTGCAACGGTTCAGATCTTGCCACGTAGAATAACGTATTCCATATTTCCCTTCTTTTTCCAACTTTCCGACCAGGTCGCAAGCACATCCATCATGTTGTGAGGATATCCATATGGAAACTCCGTTTTAGTTACATCCAATAATGTCATAACACGTTTCATTAAAAAGTCCGGCATTCTCTATAAAACCCGTTTTAGTATTTTAAATTTGTTAAAAATCTCTTACAATTTTTTTAATGAAACCAAAAAAGTAACAAAAGACAAAACAACTAAAGGAAAAAGGAAAGCGTAAAAGAACTCGTACTACCATATAGTATATAATAAGAAAAGAAAAAGACATAGGGACAAATAAACATTATTTTTATTATTTCATGAACTAAGTTTGAAAGTGTAAAATATTTCCTTAAATGCTCCCCAACAAAACTAGCCACAATGAGTGAGCCTAAATATATATTACAAATAAACCAGAAATACGAAAATATTGGTTTGAAATAATCCAATGTATATATTTACTTATTTGTCAAACTAATTCAAATTACATATGTATTTTGTATTTGAATTGAATATACATTTTTACCTCAAAAGTTGTGAGGAAACTAAATGTTCCTAGAAATTGATCGAATACAAACTCTATACCCAATTTCCCAACTTCTCAATTCATATACCAATTCACAACAAGGAAACAAAAACAAAACTAATTAAATTACTTTTCTTTATCAAATATTTAAAACGGAAAATGAGATACTAGCAAAATAGATACCTGAATAGCGGAAGGGTAGTTGTTGAATGCTGCAGCTGGAACGAGTTAAATGGTTCACATAAATAAAAATCAAAAATAAAAAAGTCATCGAGATCTCCACCATCCATTTTATCACCTCAGATTTTAATCCAACGGCCAATTACAAGAAGAAAAAAACACCACCGTCCCGTTCCGTTCCGTTTTGCCTGTCACTTGGTTTCTCTTTTGTCTCTTTTAACACTGCCTTGTCGTCTCTGTCTTCTGCTTCTTCCTCTCTCTCTCTTTCATTCCTTTCGTTTATCGTTTTCCTCCGGCATTAGATCTCCTCCTTTTGATCTGATCCGTATAGTCTCACTCTCCCTCCGATGCCTCAAATTTGATTCTTCCCTTTCCTTGGATAATAGTTTTTGGATTTCTGTGTGGGAGTAGTAACGATGGGGCAATGTTACGGGAAGGTTAATCAGAGTAAGCAAAATGCCGGAGACGAAGCTAATACGACTACTTATGTGGTTTCCGGCGACGGGAATCAGGTTCAGCCTCTAACTCCTGTTCACGGCAGAGCTAAGAACACTCCAGCTAGGTCTTCGAATCCGAGTCCCTGGCCTAGTCCTTTCCCTCACGGATCAGCGAGTCCTCTTCCTTCCGGCGTTTCTCCTTCTCCGGCGAGGACCTCCACTCCCAGGAGATTCTTCCGACGGCCTTTCCCTCCCCCGTCTCCGGCGAAACACATTAAGGCTTCGTTGATCAAACGGCTTGGAGTGAAGCCTAAGGAAGGCCCGATCCCGGAGGAGCGAGGAACGGAGACGGAGCAGTCGCTTGATAAGAGCTTTGGATATGGCAAGAATTTCGGGGCTAAGTACGAATTGGGGAAAGAAGTGGGTCGAGGGCATTTCGGTCATACTTGTTCTGGGCGTGGGAAGAAGGGAGAGATGAAGGATCACCCTATTGCCGTCAAGATCATCTCCAAGGCCAAGGTCTTAATCTCGATCTTTGATCATCTCTACTTCTGGTTTTGGGAAGATTTGAATTTTGATTTGTCTATTGCTGCTGCTGCTGCTGATACTAGTGGAATCTTTTTTTTTTGAAAAAAAGAAGTCTGTGATGAGTAATGCTAAACATTGTGGTAATTGAGGTAGTGAAAGACGATTCTTGGGTTTTGGATAATGGCGGTGGGACAGTGAATTGTCTTTTTCTTCCTGCAGATTCTTTGAGAGGAACAGTGTTGTCTCTTTAGATAGGAAACTCTTTTGGCTGGCAGTGAGTTGAGTAGACCGTAATGTGAACTTTTGTTGATTTGTCTGCATTAGGACAGGATGACCACTAAAGTGTGAGCTTCTTATTCTAATGTTTCACGAGCTTTTGTATTCTGCATGCTTTTGTGTATTGTGTACTAGTTAAGCTCGTGTCACATTTAGGTTACATTTTGATTTGCTTAGCTGTCGATTTGTAAGAGTGTTAGCTGTTGATTTTGTAAGCATGTTATTGTCTTCCATCTAATATTTGTTTACAGAAAAGATGACAAAACGTCGATTCGAAAATCTTTTGTCTGCATTCGGACATAATGTTGAAGTATGAATTTTTTTTTCACTTTCGAATGCTCGTGATTTTGTCTCTTCGCATGTTTGCTTATCTTAGTATTGAAGTTTATCGTCACGTTCTTGGTGACAATTGTGATATTCTTTCTTATCGATGAAACAAAACAAGAACGAGTTGCGGCGTGTGATTTGTTGACTGGTTGATCTTTCTTTGCTTGGCAGATGACGACAGCAATCGCAATTGAAGATGTTCGGAGGGAGGTGAAGTTATTGAAATCATTATCTGGGCACAAACATCTAATCAGATACTATGATGCATGTGAGGACGCCAATAACGTATACATTGTCATGGAGTATGTCTTGTTTCCCATTCATATCAGATATCCTATATGTTACCTCTTCTTATGTTATACCACACAAAACATTGCTACAGATTTCTGAACTGCATATCTTGTATTGTTTCTTTGTAACCAATTGATATCTATAGTTCTGTTTGACCAGGTTATGTGATGGTGGAGAACTATTGGACAGAATTTTAGCAAGGTGTGTGATCTAATTGTTCTTAAACTGAATGCTGAGAGTTTATATACATTTATGCTCAAAACATTGTATTCTCTTGACTTTCAGAGGTGGAAAATACCCAGAGGATGACGCAAAGGCTATTGTTGTACAAATTCTAAATGTGGTTTCATTTTGTCATCTCCAAGGAGTTGTGCACCGGGACTTAAAGCCAGAGGTCTGTCTTTTCTTATACTTTCTCTTATCTCTATCTCTATCTCCAGTAGCAAAACTCATATTTACTAAAGACTCTCCTATTACCTCGTTCAACAGAATTTTTTATTTACATCTAGCCGCGAAGACTCAGATTTAAAGCTTATTGATTTTGGTCTCTCAGACTTTATCAGACCCGGTGAGATTTGTCGTACTTGAGAGGCTTTCCTTGATTAGCTTTTTCTTACCGTCTAATAGTGAGCTTTTTGTTCTCAACTATACAGATGAAAGGCTGAATGATATCGTTGGAAGTGCCTACTATGTCGCGCCTGAAGTTCTACACAGATCATATAGCCTCGAGGCTGATATATGGAGTATTGGAGTTATCACATATATACTCTTATGTGGAAGCAGGCCTTTCTGGGCACGGACAGAATCTGGAATCTTTCGCACTGTGCTCAGAACTGAACCGCACTACGATGACTTACCTTGGCCTTCTGTTTCATCAGAAGGTAAAGAGTTTGTGAAACGACTTCTCAACAAAGACTATAGGAAACGAATGTCTGCAGTTCAAGCTTTGAGTGAGTTTTTGTTTTCTCTCTCTTTCTTCTTCTTTTCAAACAATTCCATTGCAACTTGGAGTTATACTGTTGTTGTAATCATTACAAAAACTGATGATCTGCTATATTTCTTATCTTCAGCTCATCCGTGGTTACGGGATGATACTCGTGCGATTCCTTTAGATATTTTGATCTTCAAATTGGTCAAATCCTATTTGCACGCAACACCTCTTAGACGGACTGCTTTAAAGGTATTTCCTTCTTCTTCTTCTTTTGGCACAAATTTTTGTTAAGAGTTAATTTAGAAGATTGAAGCATGTGATATGTTTCTTGTTTAGGCTCTAGCAAAAGCATTGACTGAGAACGAGTTAGTCTATCTTAGAGCACAGTTCATGCACTTGGGACCAAACAAAGATGGAAGCGTCTCCCTCGAAAACTTCAAGATGGTAAGTTAATCAAACATGGTTATATTATATAGGTCAGAAGTTTGTTTTGTAATCTAAATAGAAAGCTTTAATATGGCTCTCAATTCTCGCAGGCGCTTATGCAAAACGCAACGGACGCAATGAGAGAATCCAGGGTTCCTGAAATTCTTCACACGGTGAGGATAGTTTACATATAAAAAGCTGAAAAATCAATCACAGATGGAATTTAAAAGCTCGTGTTTACCAATGATGTGTGTTGGCAGATGGAATCTTTAGCGTATAGAAAGATGTATTTCGAAGAGTTTTGTGCAGCAGCAATTAGCATCCATCAACTAGAAGCTGTTGAAGCTTGGGATGAGATTGCAGCCGCCGGTTTCCAGCATTTTGAATCCGAGGGAAACCGAGTGATCACCATCGAAGAACTAGCAAGGGTAAGCATGTAAAACCCCAATTCATCGAACCGGTTTTTTTGGTCTTGCTCTCATTACAAAAATCTAATTTCGAACCGGTTGATTTGAACAGGAACTGAATGTGGGTGCGTCTGCGTACGGACACTTGAGAGAGTGGGTAAGAAGCAGTGACGGGAAGCTGAGTTTCTTAGGGTTCACTAAGTTCTTGCATGGAGTTACTCTTCGTGCTGCTCACGCAAGACCTCGCTAGCCCTTCTTTTATTTTTTAGATTTTTTGTTTTAAATATTTTTTTCTTCCTTCAACAGAACAGAGTAATAGACTTGTGAGAGACGACGAGAGGAGTATTTTCGTCCGTTTGATTTTGTTTTTTTTTTTTCTCTTTTTCTTTTCCTTATCATATTATAGAGTTTAAATTTTAAGGTACAGAAAATACTAAAACGCAAAGGAGAACAAAATGTGCATAAGGTAGATGGATTTTACTCATTATTTTCCAATATATTCTATGGAATAATAACTATGGTTTCGAGTAATATTTTACTTTTACGTTTTCCTGTAATCGAATCACCTCATCATCTCTACTAATACATCAAATCATTTGGAAATTTTTGATATCATGATTAGAATTGTTCTGATTTGTTAACTTGAGAACATTGCCAGCAATCATTTGATATATGTATGATTCATGTTCAAGAAACTACTAAACCAAAATGTTTCTACAAAATGCAACTTTGTTCAAAGTAAGGCTAAAGGCTGTAGCCTGTAGCTAAGGGACAAGAAAGTTACGCAGTCCTAATCACCAAAATTAAAATTGAAATGAAAAGTTATAAAACAACAATTAGTGATAAGATAAGCCAAAAAAAGCTAAGCCTTTCCTTTTCTGTAATGGGTGCCGACAATCGAATCATGACCATTTATTACAAATTATGATAGTGAGTTGAGTAGGTTTCTTCGTACCCACTAGTCTTCGGAAAAACAGGGAATCTACAAATGTTTCAAGTGCATTTCTCTTGTTTCACAGGTACTATTCATCATAAGCAACCTTGATTCCACACAAAATTACATGTCTACTATTGGATTATTTATCTGTTTAGTATCAATACTTTGGTGTTATTAAGAAAACTTTGGTTGAAACAACAACTATTTTCTTATTATAAAGTACAAAAAATTGACATTAAAATATCTTTGTAGTTTGTTTCTTGAAAAAAAACCACTCATCGTTTCAGCTTCTAGTGTATTTATGAGTTTAGAGTTGAATACGATACCTGACGTTGTCGATATTCACTGCGATGTTAAACCACTTCACACGAATGTCAATCCTGTGTTGAATTGGATCACACATCTTCAAACTAATGATAGTTTAGCGAGAAGAACAATCTTTCGTCGCTTAAAGCACTATTTTACGCCTTTAACAAACAAACAAAAAACACTATCTACGCTCTCCATTACCATTTGCTATCACAGGACAAGACATATAATCGACCGTTTACCATATGCTCTAAAGTAATTTTTTTTCTCCATAACGAGGGATCGTTTTGACTTTTGAGGATCCTTGTAGTTTCGAAACCCCCCCTTCTTATTACAGCCAGAGTTAGTCCCATATACCTTCTTTATTGGGGACAATTCGGGAATTACATTAGCTATGCGTAAGTTAATAATTTCATAGAACCAAAAAACATATACGTCATTTGATATGCGTCAGTTAATCACTGATTAGTTATGCGTCAGTTAATAATTTCATAGAACCAAATGACGCATATGTTTTTCACTGATTAGTTATTTAATTAGAATTTTAAAACATATTAACTGTAGATTTCCAGATTCTATAACTCATACGCAATTTGCAAAAATTAATATATATTAAAAATCGAAAATTAAGTTTGCATTCATCAATATTTTTCTTTTGAAAAAATGGGCAAACTTTCATCAATCACACACAAAACGGTATGGAAAATCATACTCGTGCGAAGCTGAAATTTTTTAACCATGTGTCGATAAATTTGTGTTGGCATATTGGGCATGAAACACATTATATGTGGTGCGAGCAAATAATATATATCATTCTCATAATTAATTACACAATAAATGTTAAGAGTTAGTGGTGCCGGCAGGGATGGTCGTTTGTGGCTTACACTTTTCTCCGTCACTCCTCTTAAAAGTTTATCATTTATATGTTTTTAATTGTTTTGTGTTTTGCTTTTCACTATTTACCGCTAATTTTTTGCCTTTTTATTTTCTTATTATCTATCTAAAGTTAGTAAATAAATCATGAATGAACGTGTATGAGCACCAGACCGGGACCCATAAGATTTATTTGATTTTTCGTTGTTAAAATTCGGGAGCAAGCTGAGCGTAGGCTCATTTGAACAGTCGCTTCGATCATGGGCCGTAATTATTCATTAAGTGAAGCCCAGTGCCTTCGAATCACATCTTAGTTGGGTTTAGGGCTTACTTGGGGAAGAAGATAAGGAGAAAACAGACATCGATTCCGCTGGAAAGAAAGGTAATTTTCCAAATATTGATTGATGTTGAGTTAATGACAACTATTGGGCGAATTAGAAACCCTAGTTTTTATGAAAAAAAATAAAATCAGTCGAATAGATGTCAAAAAAGTTTCCAGTGTCTCATATTTTGGCTACTATCTAGGGCTTCGATCGATGCGTCCCGCGAAAGCCAAAAAGGTGAAATCTTGCTCAAGAGATGCAATCAGCTCTTTGCCAGATGAGGTTCTTGCTCAGATCTTGTCCTTTCTCCCCACGAAACGAGCTGTTTCTACATCTGTTCTCTCCAAAAGGTGGAGGGATCTGTTTCCATTGATGAATCATCTCTTTGCTTCTCAACATCATCTCTGTTTAGACGACTCTGATTTACTGTACCCTGAGGAGGAGGGTAAGAAAACACTTTCCGGTTTTCGTGGAAAGTGTTTTCCGGTTTACTGTATCCTGAGGAGGAAAGATGTGCACCAGAGCTTCAGGGATTTCGTGGAAAAAACACTTTCCGGTTGCAAATCCGTAAAGAAACTGTCGCTAAAATGTCAAGATGGCTTTATGTGTTTCGCTCTTGCCGAAAAATGGATACGCATAGCATTGGAACGAGGTCTCGTGGATCTTGATCTGCGTCTAACAACGAGTTCGTACGAGGAGGCATCACGTTTCCCTCGTAGTATTGTCTTCAGGAACAAGACGCTGGTTAAGCTAACTCTAGGAATAGATTTTGGTCATATTCCTATATCATTTTCACAAGAGCCTCCGTTTCTTCCAGTGCTAAAGAGCCTCGTCATCTATGGAGTTGGGTTTAGATGCTATCAATTTTGCTGGTATATGCTTCCTGCTTGTCCAGTGCTTGAGGAACTATCCTTACAATATGACTTATGCCGTGAGAAAATAGGCACTGCACCAGAATTAAGAATATCCCACCAAACCCTCAAGAGACTCACAGTTCACTACAATAACTGTTTTAGCTGCTCTGGAAGCGCCAGATTCGACACACCGAGTCTTGTTTACCTTGACTTCTCTGGTCTCTCCCCTGTGGATTATTATTCAACTGCCAGTTTCTTGGATTCCCTTGTCGAAGCCAAACTAGATGTTGGTTTGAATCCGAAATTTATTCAATACACTAGTGTATCTACAATCATTAGTTGGATGAGCAACGTTAAGAGCCTTTCCCTGTCTTCTACATCTGTTAAGGTCTTTCTCTGCGCCTTCCTTGCCTTGAATAGTATCATTTTGTGCCCTGATGATGACTACAAGTTTGTTTTCGTGTGTCTTTCAGGCCATGTGTTCACGCCGTCCGGTGTTACCTTCGTTTGTAAACCTTGTTAAGCTTTCTGTAGAGAGTGATGTTACAAAAGAACGGTGGAAAGTGCTTCCGAGACTGCTCAACAAATCTCCAAAGCTAGAAACTTTGGTCCTCAAGGTGTGTTACGTTGTATCATAAACTTATCTCTCAGCAGAGAATTATAGTTAAGTCACAATCCTAACTCTGTATTTGTGATGATGCTTGCTTGCTTGCTTGCTCATCCAGGGAGTGTACATTGATCCAAGTGAAGTGAAGGTGTTGAAGATATATGGGTTCAGTAGAGGGAGTGGTGGAGAGTTCAGACGATCCAAGCGCTTTTTCCTGAAAATGCAGATTTTTCAAAAGATGAAAGCGGAAATTGAGGCTGATGATAACAAGATTCTGCAACTCGTCAGTAAGATTCTTACTCGTCGTAAGAAACGATAGACTAGTCACTTTTGGTTTTGGTTCGTATGCACTCAAAAACTTTAAGATTTTGCTAGCTAATTTCGATATTTTGATTAAAAAAACAATAAATTTGGTTTCAAGATTTGTGGATTGTTCGACATCCAATTATTGCACGTAGTAAAAAAAAGGATATTGTTATTAACATGATTCTATCATTAAGCAATATATGTTTATTTTGAACGGGAAAGAGTATAATTTTGTTATTTTCTCATACACACCATCGTTAATATACGTCAAATGCAGTAGTTTATTAAGAGTTTTAATGTGGTCAGCAACTGAGGTCTGCGCATCAATGGGTAATGACGACCAACAATTAATATTGGGTTGGTGATTTATGAAAAAGGTTGAAATTTTGATTAAGTACTAAACCGAGTAAATTAGTCAAATTAGTCGACAAATTACTGTTTTACCTTAAAGGTGAAGAAGCTACATGTAGTGAGGGAAACTATTTTAACAATCAAGAATATTAAAAGCATGATCAAAGTATAGAAATGAAATTTAAAATGACTATTCTCAGGCATTCAATAGTTTAGCAATTCTCATCATAAACAAACTTGTTTGATAGTAAAAAAAGTTACATATACAAGCTCCGGCATATGAAAGTTACAGTTGTAAAAAGGCAGACTTACAATAGAGTGTGTGATAATATCAGGGAAACATTAAAACGTGTGCAATAGTAATCTAAATCACTTAGTATAAAATGAGTAATAGACTTGTGAGAGACGACGAGAGGAGTATTTTCGTCCGTTTGATTTTGTTTTTTTTTTTTTCTCTTTTTCTTTTCCTTATCATATTATAGAGTTTAAATTTCAAGGTACAGAAAATACTAAAACGCAAGGGAGAACAAAATGTGCATAAGGTAGATGGATTTTACTCATTATTTTCCAATATATTCTATGGAATAATAACTATGGTTTCGAGTAATATTTTACTTTTACGTTTTTCTGTAATCGAATCACCTCATCATCTCTATTAATACATTAAATCATTTGGAAATTTTAAATATCATGATTAGTATTGTTCTGATTTGTTAAGTGAGAACATTGACAGCAAATTTCTGTATAGTGTGATATATGTATGATTCATGTTCAAGAAACTACTATACCAAAAGGTTTCTACAAAATGCAACTTTGTTCAAAGTCAGGCTAAAGGCTGTAGCCTGTAGCTAAGGGACAAGAAAGTTACGCAGTCCTAATCACCAAAATTAAAATTGAAATGAAAAGTTATAAAACAACAATTAGTGATAAGATAAGCCAAAAAAAGCTAAGCCTTTCCTTTTCTGTAATGGGTGCCGACAATCGAATCATGACCATTTATTACAAATTATGATAGTGAGTTGAGTAGGTTTCTTCGTACCCACTAGTCTTCGAAAAAACAGGGAATCTACAAATGTTTCAAGTGCATTTCTCTTGTTTCACAGGTACTATTGGTTTCTGGAACTGGAAGAAGAAAAAAATTGTTAAAAGGGTTTTCATTTCTGGAAAAAAATTATGTAAAACAAATTATTTATTTCTGATTTAAGTCATACCTATTCAAGTTAAAATTTAAATATAGATGAAAACTCTAAAGATAAAAATTGAAAACGTTTTCGTGGTCTTATCCTTTGTGTGTGTGTGTGACTGCTGAAATAGGATCTTTGGAATAAACGCATGAGAGTAATTGAGTAAAGGCTCGGAAGTGCATGCTCACCTGCTAGCATTGGAAGATGTATTGCTATTAACTTCATGTAATTGATTAAAATACAATAGTAATAAATTTTTAGGTCAAATGAAATTAATGCTTTAAGGATCAGCCGTTACAATGGAGGATAAAAGGAAATATCTTAAACGAAAAAAGAATTTGAGTATCTTCCTTTTTTCCTTTGTTTCTATTTGAAAAATAAAATTTGACTACATTTTTAAAAAAGGTTTGTTTTTTTTTGTAAATACCACATACATATATGCTTGATTATCCAACTATAAGTAGAGATGTTGGATCTCATATTTATTTTATTTATCGTAAGTATTTTTTGCAACTATAAGTTATTTTATTTATCGTAAATATTTATCTCATATTTCCTCTGTTTTAATATATTTAACTGAGGGAATTTTATGTTTTTCCATTGTTATCAACTAAATAACAAATGTGAATTTCCACACCCAATAAAGTGTCATCTTCTTCGTATTTTTTTGTGATCATTGTCGTCGTGATTATCTTCAGTCATTAAAAATGGCTAAAATTGAAACAAAATATCACAGACCTAATTTTTTTATATCTCGAAATATTCAATAGAAGATACAGAAAATGAACTAAAATCGATAAAAAAAAAATCAGAAAATTCACTTAATTCTTGGGTTAGGCCAATTCTGGCTCCACAACTCTACAAGATCAACCAAAAGAAAAGGTGAAAAAAATTAACACACAGACAATCCATTCATCTTCATAATTTATCCAATCATCAAGCTCTGAAACATCCAACAAGGTGATGATACTGGTCACGACCGCTATGTCTATGATGATGGTTATTATTACCATTATACACCGATTTCTCTCCATCAATCAAAGCTTGCACGTAACGAAACTCCGCCACGTGGCAAGGAATTGTGATGGTGCCCTTTTGATCGAATCCATACTCATCTTCTGCTTCTTTCAAAAGCTGCATGAACAATGGATGATTAAAATACAAAACAGGAACTACGAATCTCTGTTGCTCTTCTCCTTGTGATCCCACTTTGATCGCTAAATATCCTTTTGGAACATCTTTGATTTTGACCGTTTGTTTGCGATGTAAATGAAAGCTTTTCAGAGATTTTTCTCCAGTACCCATGATTTTTAGAAAACGTTTTAAAAAGATGATCAAGAAACCAAGAAAGGCTCAGAAGAATAAAAAAGTATTCTAGCTTTCTTGCGTTTTTACTTTTGAAAGAAAAAAAAATCGAGGAATTAGGCTAGAAAGCAGGCCATGGGTCTTCAAGTGTAAGAGATGAGAGTTCGAGAGAACTAATCAAGTTGCTCATTTTTTTTCGTGTGGAGGTAAGGAACAATGAATGAAAGAAACAAAAGAGGAAGATTTGTTTATAAAGAGAAAATATAGTTTTTTTATTAAAAAAAAGTCCATCAAAATGAGATGAGACGCTCCTATTTTCTTATTCAATTTCTCATAATAAATACAGTGTTGGTATTTTAAAATTTCCTATTTGGTTGTCATTTGCTTTATAAAATAAATCTAATAACCACCAATGGGTATTTAAAAATTATATAGTCAGCAATAATTATGAAAAAATCAACGATAATTAACTATAACGTTTAAACGAAATTTTATAAAGTAACTTCCTACATTATATAAACAAATACAATAAGTCATTCTGATCAAGAATGTGAAATGCGAGACTTTTAAAAAGGGCAACGTATATTCTTATTAATAATAATACTTCGTTTCATAAAATTATACGAGTATGTTTTTTGCATGCAGTAAAAGGATATTGTTACTCACATTATTCTATCATTAAGCAATATATATTTATTTTGAACGGGAAGGAGTATAATTTTGTTAATTTCTCATACACACTCCATAGTTAATTATACGTCAACATGCAGTAGTTTTTTTTTTGAGTTTTAATGTGGTCAGCAACTGAGGTCTGCGCATCAATAAGTAATGACGACCAACAATTAATATTGGGTTGGTGATTCATAAAAAAAGGTTGAAATTTTGATTAAGTACTAAACCGAGTAAATTAGTCAAATTAGTCGACAAATTACTGTTTTACCTAAAACGTGAAGCTACATGTAGTGAGGGAAACTATTTCAGCAATCAAGAATATTAAAAGCATGATCAAGTATGGAAATGAAATTTTAAATTGATTATTCTCGGGCATTGGATAGTTTTTCAGTTATGAAATTTGGCAATTCTCATCATAAACAAACTTGTTTGATAGTAAAAAGATGCATATATACAAGCTCCGGCATATGAAAGTTGATACAGTTGTAAAAAGGCCGACTTACAATAGAGTGTATTATAATATCAGGGAAACATCAAAACGTGCATAATATTACTACTTAGTATAAAATGTCAAAGACAAGTTCAGTCCACTAGAATTCTTTCGTAGCTTCGACCAAAAAAGTCAAATATATACTCTCTTTTGTTATATGATGTTACGCTTATTTTTATTTTTATTTTTTTATAATAATTGTTGATGTAGGATATAACTTGATGTCGCTTAATATTAATAAAAAAGTATGAATATAACCAAAAGTCCAGAGTCAAATTATTATTTAGGAATATAATAAGAAATATTTTACTGTTTATATGTTCAAAAATGATAGTTATATCGAAATGGATGGAATAATTTCTAAGAAACTTATTGCACATATCATCATTTTTTTTCTTTCAAATCTGATATTGTTTTTTTTTTTTTTGTTTATAACAAAGCTATAAATCTAAGAAATGTAATAAAATAACCAAAAGACATTTTTTTAAATTATTAGCACACTTTGTTGATCACTCGGCTGCTTTCGTTTCGTTATACTGTAAATCTGTGTAGCAATTATTCATTCATTATTCGAGCGGCTTAGGTATTGTTAGTTATAAAGAAACCGAATCAATGTCGTCACATGATGAATATGTGGAGGCGATGCATATTTTGAATTCGTATAATCAAAACGTCCAATATTAATGTTATGTATGAGCTCATGTACACACTATTCAAATCAATATGTTTTTTTTACAACTACATGTATAATATTACGTATGAGCTCATGTACATAATCCAAAGTCGGGGACAATTCGATGAACAAGAAGCAGCCGGTTTAGCCGTCTAGGACATGTCAACATATAAAACCACCTTTAATATTTAGAAATCATTCAGTTATTTTTAAATATTAAAGGTGGTTTTATATAAGATTGTAGGACAATAACTACTGAAACTGGCTAATAGATATGTCAAGCACACATAAAGAATTCATATGAAGAAAAATAGGGGGGAGAGAATATTCTAGCCAAAAAAATATGTGTTTTCGATTTCTTGACGAGTTGAATAAAGAACGAGGCCGTCCA